AGTTGGACGCTTAACCGACTGAGCCACCCAGGCGCCCCTGTTTCCTGACTTTTAAAGGAAAATTGGACAGCACTCTGATGAAAGACAGTTTTGGGGAAAGACATGGACCTTAAGTGAAGAGGGTGATAAATCTCATCGTTTCATTCTCTTTCGGAACATTTTTTGGCTTCTTGCTGCTTGCAGCAAGTAGTTTTCAAACTTGAGGAATGTACAAATTCCTTTTAAGGGAAATAATTTATCTTGGACCTACAATGCTGACTTAAACTGTTTTTATTATAACAATGATTACTCAAAATATTATCTAAATGTGTACAAACATAAAATGAGGTTTAAGGTGCTATATAAAATTTGTATACAAATATAAACAAAAACAGGTTTATACATTAAATGAAAGCAAACTTTATTTTTTTTAAAAAAATTTTTTTTCAACGTTTTTTATTTATTTTTGGGACAGAGAGAGACAGAGCATGAACGGGGGAGGGGCAGAGAGAGAGGGAGACACAGAATCGGAAACAGGCTCCAGGCTCTGAGCCATCAGCCCAGAGCCCGATGCGGGGCTCGAACTCACGGACCGCGAGATTGTGACCTGGCTGAAGTCGGACGCTTAACCGACTGCGCCACCCAGGCGCCCCTGAAAGCAAACTTTAAATCCAATAAAATGACATCTTTTTTGCTGCAACTCAGTTGCTCCCAGTCTTTTTAAGTTCAGTATGCTGGTATTCCTGGGTGCCATGTGATACACATATCCTATATGTCATTCGTCTACCTGTCTGTCTGTCTGTCTGTCTGTCTGTCTTTGTCTATCTGAGAGAGACAGCAAGAGCACAGGAGTGCATAATGGCTTAGAGCAAGGGTTACGGAACCACACTGCTTGAGTGCAGGTGTTTGCTTTGCCAATTCCTAGCTGGGCAACTTTCGGAAAGTTATATAACCTTTCTGTGCCTCATTTTCTCCATCTGTAAAATAGGGATAAAATAGGATCTATCTTTCACATGGTTGTTGTGAAGAACAATGCGTTAATGTATATGAGGCCTCTAGAAGAGTACCTGTCATATAGTAAGTGCCATGTAAAGGATGGCATTTGTTAGTATTATTATCATTATTATATTATAGTTGAGGGTTATTTCACCCAAATACCGGTAGAGTGAAAGAGCAAGGCCATTCCCTGTGGGTCAAACAAAAGGTACAGTATGTACCCCTTTTATACTGAGGATTTGTAGGAGAGGGGGATGGTAAACACATAAACATGTGGTCAATGAGAAGGCCAATGTGACTGATGGTAAGTTCAAGTAGTTCTTGCATTCTGGAGTCAAAGCTTTGCTTGTCTCTTCCCACAGTGTACAACTGGACCGTGGATGAGGTGGTGCAGTGGCTGATCACGTATGTGGAGCTGCCTCAGTATGAGGAAACCTTCCGGAAGCTGCAGCTGAGTGGCCATGCCATGCCGAGGTCAGGAGGAGACTGGATTCTCTCACTTGGGGGTGTAGGGAATGGACTGGGATCGGCCCAACATCAGGTTTCTCTGGCCAGTTAAATGAGGCTCCACTTTTTTCAGGGCACACTCTCTAGACCTCTCCTCTTCTCGCATCCATTGTGCACTTGCTCTGAAGTGTGATGGACGCTTGGCATCCGTTCTCTTATTTAACATTTCTGTCGATCCTGGGAGTAATACTAATGGCTGTCGTTTACTGAATATTTAGTACATGGCAGGCACTCCTATGCACCACTTCATATACAGTATGTCACTTAATTCTTACATCAATCCTGTAAGGTAGGTATTATTGTATATAGACAATGAGACTAAGTAACTTTTCCAAGGTCACATGGCTAGTTAGAGGCAAAACTGATTTGAACCTAGATCTGGGTAGACTTCAAAGCCTGTGGTATTTCTCTTTTCTTTTGCTGTGCTTCCAGCAGCTGCCTCTTTTACTGCCCAGGAGCCTCGGGGCTCTGTTAGCCTCCCTTGAATTATCCATATAGAGTGTGTCTACTCTAAAGACGTGGTGTGAGGTGGGGCTGACTCCCACTGGCCCTGGTCTCCTCTCCAGGATGACTCTTCCAACAGCTGTGGTACCCTAACTCTGCCTGCTTCACAGGTGCAGTAGGCCAGGGCCTGTGGGGGTGGGGAGGGGATGGAGTACTGCATGGACTTCTTGTTATGTCAGACTAGTACCATGTGTCATGCAGCCATTAATCCATTTACTTATTCATTCGACAAATATTTACTGGGTACCTGCTCCATGCCAAGCACTTGTGCTGGGTGCTGGGGATAAAGATGACAACAGCCTGCCCTTGCCCTCCAAGGGCTTACTATCTGGTAAGTGCTGATTGTATATAATCTGTCATCCTATTACGTAGGTGCATCTGGTTATGAGCTTCAGCAGAGGGACGGGGGGAGGTGAAGCTGCTGGTGCACCCACACTTTGCAGCCTGCAGCCGCAGAGCTACTGGGCGCTGCTGCCCCCGCCCCCTGCCTGCAGCCTCCTTGTCACAGCTTCTCCCTACCCTGGAGAGAGTAATAATCTTACTGTTTGTACAGCCCCTTCTAGAACACTTTCCTGCCTATTATTTCAGTTGGTTCTCACAATTCTGGGAGGAAGGAATTACTACCCCGGCTTTTGGGTAAACAAACTGATTTTCAAATATTTTATGATTTATCCAAGCTGGTAAGTGGCAGAGCTGGGGTTTGAACCCAGGTCTTTTCATGAAACTTTACCAATTATCTACCCTGTGCTGGGTTCTCTCCTGGGCCCTGAGGACAAAGAAGTGTATCAGACCCCATCTGCCTTGAGGAATTCCATGTTTAATGAAAGAGACAATTAAATAGATGATTGACCATGAAACTCCAGGATCTAGGTTTCTTTCCCGTTACCCATGGAAATTGCAGTATTGCCTTGGCCCATTCCATCTTGAGGAATAGCTATGGTTCCATTAGAGCGAAAACATAGGATGAGAAGTCAGGTCTCAGGTCATGGGCTCTTGGTGCCTCCCTGTAGCTAGACCAGATCCAGCCAGGTCAGGCGGGGGGTGGAGGAAGCCAGGCTGTGGCACCTTAGTGACAGCAGGAAGCCTGGAGCCTTCGGTACATGGAGTGTGGGATGGAGTGGCAGTGGTTGTAGGCCCACCACTAGGCAGCATGGTGTAATGGGAAGAATCCAGAAGATTTGAGTTCATTTCCTGCCTTTGCCACTTACATGCTATGTACGTGACTTTGGGCGAGTTGCTCAACTCTGAGTTAAGTCAGTGGTGCAGTGAAGTGGAGCTAGTGATGGAACTGTGTCCTTCCAGTCAGAGGACTGAATGAGGCATTGTATGTGAAGCGTCAGAACAGGATGAGAGATGCAGTAGCTGCTTAGTAAATGTTAGCTCCTTTCTTGTTTCTCTCATTGCTCACCTCATAGGTTTCATTGACAAATAGACTACAGAAAAGATGACACTTATATTGATCAGTTAGATGAAGGCCAGTGCACTGGGTGGAAGTGCTCTGAGGAGGAACCCCCAGAGCTCCTGGGCCTAGAGGAAGCATCTGATTTCACAGAAGCTTACACAGAAGGAAAATGGGGCCCCAGAGGAGAGACCGAGTAGTTTATGATCAGACAAGTGAGTTGCTGACTCAGCTGGGACCAGAAGCTAGATCTTCCGACCCCTTCAGCCCCCATCACAGTGTCTCACTGCTTCTCTTGTAGAGGGGTTGATTGCTTCCCATGGCTGGAGAGGGAGGTAGCTGCCCCTGTGTGCCCAGGCAGGAATATAAATCACACACAGATGTCAGAAGCATTTTTTTCTACCTGGGGAAACAAAGCTATGCATCAGCAAAGAACACTAACTTTATGGAATATGACAGTAGTAAAGGCTCATGTGTGGGACCCCGACCACTGGATTTATAACCTTTCATATCTTATAACCGTCTCCTCCACACCCCCTGTGTTCTAGCAGAAGAAAAACAAAGTCCAGTTTGTTTCTGGGTCATTTTCTCATTTGCAGGCCCTTTCTTACTAGAGTTATCATTAACAGTATGTTGAAGGTCATAAAAAGTTACAATAATCTGACTGGGAGTAAATGACAGTGACTCAAATACAAGGTAATAAGACTAATGCACTGTTTGTCATCAGCAGATTTGTACTTAATGGCAGTGGGTTAGGATTAGAGGTCCTCAGAAAGCACTGGGTAACGTGGCATTGTGTTTTGACCTGGGTTGGACAGGAGAATGTATTTGCAGATGGTGGGAGTGTGGGGATATGTGCACAGTTGATACTCCCTGGAAGGAGAAACACAACAGAAAACTTATAGTTGGGTGTGGGCATGCTCACAGATGGGTAGTCCTCAAAGAGCAAGGTTCTCAGGAGATGGTGGACATGGGGAGAAGGGTGAACATATTCTTGGTAAATGTTATGTGTCCCTCCTTACTCCCTGTTGAGATCCACTGGTATGGACTCTGTGTTCTAGAGCATACAGGGGAGCAATCACCAAGAGCTAGAAGTCATGGAAGTGTTCCTGGAGGAGGTGGGTAATCCTTCCTGGTTTTAATGGCAGGAAACTGAACCCTTCCTCTTTGCCTCGACAGGCTTGCTGTGACCAACACCACCATGACAGGGACTGTACTAAAGATGACAGACCGGAGCCATCGGCAGAAGCTGCAGCTGAAGGCCCTGGATACAGTGCTATTTGGGCCTCCTCTCTGTGAGTCCTGTGGAAAGAAGGGCTGCTGATTTGCCATGGAACCTGAGGCCATTGTGGGGGCTAGGCTGAGGTCCTGGGTCTCCTAGGTACACCTGCAAGGCAGCACCTCCACTCTTCCCACTGAGAAGTGAAAATATGAGACATGAAATAGTCTTATATTTCAATCCAGTCGGATGTCAAGTTCCGTTCATTAGATACATTAAGACCTACTTTGTGCCAGTGCTGTACTGGACCCTGTAGGAAGACCTGGATGAATCATATCCTTCCATAAAGGGATAAAATGAAAGTTCCAGAGAGGTACAGCATGCTTCTGAGGTCCAGAGGAGGGATAGAGAAGGCATCTGATAGAAGAGGTGGCATGTGACCTCTGCCTGTAAGGATGGGTAGGGCTTTATTCCATGCAGGTGGCAGGAGAGGGCATTCTAGGCAGAGGAAACAACCAGAGCAAGAATACAAAGGCTAAGATATGAAAGGAATGCTCAGGGATAACATAGGGTCTGAATGCCAATTAGCTGTTCCCTGCTTTCACTGTGGACATGCAGAGAGTATGAACTGATGGCTGAACATCTTATGTCCTTGGACCACCAAAGAAGACTAAGTGGGCTTCCCTGGAATCATAGAGACACACTCACGGCTAAGAAAGGGTAGTCTCTTCAGCCAGGGGTGACTCAAGAGAAACAGGCAGTTCAGCTCCTGAAGATCTCTACAAGGTGGGAATGGCCAACCCTGCCATCCTTTATCTTATTCCCCATGAACTCAGGGGGAACAAAAGTGGTAAGATTTCTGAGAAAATTAGCCTTGACCAAGCATGCTCTTAGGACCCACTCTCTGCCCATTGGGAGCTGTTGGCATCGGTTCAGGATGCCAGTGACAGAATGTTATAAGGCCAAGAACCAGTCCAGAGAAGCAGCTGGCAGGCAGAGTCAGAGGCTGTATAACATTTTCCCATCTGTGCATTCGGCTTGACAAGTGCCTGAGCTGATCCGTCATCTGTACGTGTTTTTTAAATTTTTAATAAACTTTATTTTTTAGAGTAGTTTTAGGTTTGCATCAAGATTGAGTGAAGCTTGGGGTGTATGGGTGGCTCAGTTGGTTAAGTGTCTGACTTTGGCTCAGGTCATGATCTCATGGTGGTTGAGTTCGAGTTGGGCTCTGTGCTGACAGCTCAGAGGCTGGAGCCTGCTTCGGATTCTGTGTCTCCCTCTCTCTCTGTTCCTCCCCTGCTTGTGCTCTCTCTCTGTCTCTCAAAAATAAATAAACATTAAAAAAATTAAAAAAAAATAAATAAATTGAGTGAAAGTGCACAGATTTGCCATACACCCTGCCCCCCCACATGCATAGCCTCCCCCATGGTTAGTGTCCTCCACCAGAGTGGTACATCTGTAATGACTGATGACCCTGAACTGCCACATCATTATCACTCAGAGTCCATAGTTTACATTAGAGTTGACTGTTGGGGTTGCACAGTCTACGGGTTTGGACAAATGTACAATGACATGTATACATGTATTGTATAGAATAGTTTCACTGCCTTAAAGATCCTCTGTGTTCCACCTATTTATCTCTCCCTCCCCCTCAACCCCTAATATAGAATTACCATATAACCCAGCAATTATAGGCCTAGGAATGTATCCAAAGAATTGAAAACAAGTACTGAAAGAAGTACATGTTCACATTCATAGCAGTGCTATTCACAACAGTCTAAAGGTGCACACAACCCAAATGTCCATCAGTGGACAAATGGATAAGTGGTAGTATATAAATACAATGAAATATTATCCAGCCACAAAAAGGAATGGAGTTGTAATACATGCTACAACATGGATGAACCTGGAAACCATGCTAAGTGAAAGAAGCTAGACATAAAAGGCTACACATTATATCATTCTATTTATATGAAATATCCAGAATAGATACATCCATAGAGACAGAATGCAGATTGGTGGCTGGCAGAGGCTGGGGGAAGTGGAAAATGTGTAGTGACTCCTAATCGGGTATAGGATTTCTTTCTGGGATAATAATAATGTTCTAAAATTAATTGTGCTGATGGTTGCACAACCTTGAAAATACGATAAAACCACTGAATTGTACATTTTAAAAGAGTGAATTTTAGGGTATGTGAATTATAGCTCAACAACAACAACAACAGCAACAATACATACGCAGCTTGATTTTTGGCAACTCCTGGACTTCCATTTAGAGAACTTCTTATCAAATTTAGGAAAGTAAAGTACCTTGGTCCCTTTTCCAAATTTCCACTCACTGTGTGACCTTGTGTAGGTCACTTTTCTCAGGATGTGTTTTCTGATTTGTATTATGAAAAAATTGAGCTAAAGGATCTTTGATTCCTTTCAGGTGAACATTCCATAGTTTTTGAGAGGAAACCCTTTGATTGGTAAGGGTCCTGGTAAAAGGATAAAAGATAGGAGTTCTCCTCCTCTCCGCTGCTGTCTGTTTCCTGTACTTTTAGGAATCTGTGCTTGGCCCTTGCCTTATCAAGTGACCTTTGGCAATTCAGTTCTCCTGCCTAGATTTTGGGTTCCTTATGTGTAAAATGGGCTTGGTCAAGGCTCTTCCTGGCTCCCTGATTCTAGGACTCTGATAGAGCTTGGGTGTACTTCTGGGAGCTAAGGTTTTGGAATCCAGCAGCTGTCCTGATGGCAAATACTGTTTTTATACTTTCCTACTGATGGCTCGTTAAAGAAAAGTTTTGAAAATTGCCAGATGGAATCTGAGGAAAATACTAGGAAGCTCTTTGCCAGGAGACATCTGCAAGGGTGGGGCTGTGTCTGGGGGGTACCTGCAAAGAATCCCTTGGTCTGTGTCCCTCTAGCTCTGTGTTTCCATCTGAGCATGGGCTAAAATCCCTACTTGAGCTCTGTTCCCTGTCCAACACCCACACAGGACTTAGAGTGCTAACCTGTGCTGCTGACCTGGTTCTGTACTAAGGGTGAGTTCTTAAGGCTGTGGCTCTTAGGTGGTAAACACCCTGGAGAGCCTGGGCCAGGTATAGCTGCAAACCTTGGCTGCCTTGCCCAGCCTTAATGAAAATCCTGCCATCAGTCTGAAACTTGAGAAATCTCAAATCAAAGTTTGTTGTACAATAGCCGGGAAGGTCTGCTGACTGATCAGGGTCCATCTGTCTGAGCAGCCTCAGAGCTTGGGAATGGAGAAGAAGGATCAAACCGGCTCAGCATGGAGCTACTCAGGACCCATTTTCTGACAGTAGAAGACGTCTCAGCCCTCCCACCATGGCTGCAGAGGAGCACATGGCCTTTTACAGTCTTTCCGACCTGCGGAGTTGGCTCTAGGCTTGCAGGTCTATCCGGGGCTCTACTAACAATCCCACAATGATGTGTTAGTTGTGTTCTGACACACGAAGTCCCAAGGCAGCTTGCCTTGGAGACCTATGCTGATGTCTCACTCTGGCAGCAGATCATTCACTGAGAGGGCTTTTCCTGATCTGCGATAATTTGTCAGAGAAATGGAGACTCAGGAGATGAGGTGAGTTTTTAGAGGTCATTCATCTTTTAAATGGCAAAGCCATGACTCAGACACAGTAACTTACATTTCAGTGCTCTTTCTACTATATTATCTCATCCTCTGCTTCTGACAGAGGAAGCAAGATAAAACATAAAGAATTCCAATATGAAATGAAGCAAATTAAATTAAAAAAATGTTTATTTTTGAGAGAGAGATAGAGTACAAGCGGGGGAGGGGCAGACAGAGAGGGAGACACAGAATCTGAAGCAGGCTCCAGGCTCTGAGCTGTCATCACAGAACCCGATGTGGGGCTCACACCCATGAACTGTGAGATCATGACCTGAGCCAAAGTTGGACACTTGAGCCACCCAGGTGCCCCAAGAGTTGGGTTCTTAATGGGCTGGCTCCCTCAACTCACTTTTGAAGCTTTCTCCAGGATGCCTTTCCAGCCTCTTCCTGGGCATGTTCAACCCTTTCTCCTTACTCTCTTCTGGGATCCTATAGCCCTTTGTACCTGCTTTTTCTTTCCTTTTTTTTTTTTTTTTTTAATCTGTTTTCCTGTCTGTTACCCTTTAAACTGGGAACTCATGAGGGTAGAAACAGCTTTGTTCATCTGTCGTCATAACTCAGCATATGGCCCAGCAATGAGTAGGCGTCAGGAAATGTATGGTAGAAGTTTTACAGGAGGAGGCTGGGTGTCCTTAGAGCTCTAGGACAGGGGAGATGGGAGGAGACTCTGGCCCAGCTTGGCTGTGGGGAGAACACTATGGAATGTCTTCTGTGGATACGTGAGTCAGCTAAAGCACTTTTTGGGCTAAAACCAGAAGGCAAGAAGGTCCAGGAATAGTTATTATAGGTTAACCACACACCTCAGCACAGAAGGCTATGTAAATGACAAAAGAAATTCCAAGCATGTATTCTGGCAGTAAGCAGTGAATAGGTGTATCTCCCAGGGACAGGGTATTGTGGACGGTAGAGAAGGTGGCGAGAATAGATTGGGAGAGGGGGTTCCAGAAAGTGGTAATGATTGGAGGCTCACTTTCTCAATGCTAACTGTACTATAAAAATTCTCACCATTATTCCTGACTCTGTTAACATGTCAGCATCTCATTTGTTTATACCCTCCTCCCTTGCCTCAGGCCTGATTGTATTAACAGTTGACCTCATTTTGCTAAAATCTATTTGTAGCACTCGGGCTGGGAACTCTGCCACACTCTGGCTCCCCAGGTCCTAGCCAGTTTCCCTGGGTTAGCTCTGTTCACCTAGCAAGCCACACCTGCTCTCATGAAAGCTCCATGGTCTGTCGCCCTAGCAGTGCTCGCTGGGCATAGGGGTAGCTTCTGAGAGCTGAGCTTGTGCAGGGGCTGTGCGGGACGGCCAGCCATGCTCTGCTTGTGCTTTCACATGCACTTTCTATCATAACCCCTTCCATGTGAAAACCGCCTTTCTTCTTCCCTTTGTCTTTCCTTTCCACCTTTGCTGAGTACCTGTTCTGGTCAGGCTCTGTGCTAAGTATGGGGCTATAGAGAGAAATAAGGCTTGTACCCTGGCCCTGAGGAACTCACAGACTATCAGAAGGTGACTAGTATGAAAGTTGAAAAACACACAAGGCAGTCCCTGAGATGGCAGGAGATAATCCATGTTTACCTGTCCAAAGAGTGGGTTGGTTGAGGAATCCTAGTCAGAGGAGAAGGATTGGAAACATCCATGTAGACTGTTGTGGGCTGGGAAGGTGGCAGGAAGCGAAGAATGGGAATGGAATTATGGGGAAAAGTACATCGTTAGTAAGGCACAGATGAGACTCTTCATTTCTCTTTTTCTGGCACAATGGTTTATAGATTCTGTATTAGGATTCTCCAGAGAAACATAATATGTATGTATGTATGGATGGATGGATGGATAGAGATAGATAGATATAAAGGGAAGATTTATTATAGGAATTGGCTTACATGATTATGGAGGCCAAAAAGTCCTGTGATATGCCATCTACACCCAGAGGACCAGAAAAACCAGTGGTATGATTTAGTCTGAGTTTGAAGGTCCAACAACTAGGAGAGCTGATGGTATAAAGTCTGAGTCCAAAGGCCAGAGAATCAGGGGGCTGATGCTATATGTCCCAGCCTGAGTCTGGAGACCTGACAACCAGGTGTGCTGATGTAAGAGGGTAGCAGAAGATAAATGTCTCAGCTCAGGCTGAGAGAGCACATGCATCCTTCCTCCGCCTTTTGGTTCTATTCAGGCACTCAGAAGCCTGAGGATGATTGAATGACATGTACTCACATTAGTGAAGATGGTCTCCTTTACTCAGTCTACCGATTGAAGTACTAATTTCTTATTGAGGCAAGAAAGCTCTCTCGGCATCCCTTAGCCCAGTCAAGTTGACACATAAAATTAACATCACAGATTTGCTTTGGACTATAGGGTTCTGCCCAGGGTTCCACTGAAAGGGTCTGATAATTCTCACATCTTCTTTTCCAGCTACTACCTCTTATTTAAACTCCACATCCACATTCTTAATTACCTAGTGGATATGTCCAGCTGAAGATTTCCAGAACACCTCAAAGCACTTTCATTCATAACTATGCACTTGATCTCTTTAGCAATTCTGTGACAATGCATTTTAGAGTTGAGGAAGTTGAGATCCAGATGGAGCAGAGGCAAGCATAGAACCCAGACTTCCTACTACTCAGTGCAGGATGCTGCTTTTGATGGCACAATAATTTCTCTACATGAGGCCTTACATTTAACCTTAAAGGCCTGGCCATTTGACCTTTGGGTATTCACTCTCCGGATGGCCTGTGAGCCACAGTCAGCTCTCAGGATATTGTCTGGGAGAAAAACTCAGGTTTTGGAACTCTTATAGCCACACTCTGGCTAGATCAGGGGATCATCTCCATGGTGAGCAATGTTTGGATGTAACAAAGCAGAAACAACACCTGCTGCACAAGTAGGAAAGTTGTAATGAGAAAGTGGGGTGTAGCAGAAAGACCATGTGGTCAGGCAAGTCTGGATCTGAATCCCAGCCCTGTCACTTTTGATGAACTCCAGGAAGTTAGTTCTCCTGGGGAGACTCAGTTCCCTGGCCTATAGAGTGAGAACACAAATACCTGCCTTCTAGAGTGGCTATGAGAATTCAAGATGGTGGATATAAATGCCTAATGTGTTATGTATCTTCTCTTTTCCTTCCTCTCCTATGTGGGGTAAGGAGAGAGAGATATCATACTTGGAACTTATCAGTAAAGGTTCAGTTCCACAAATATTTACTGAATCCCTGTGTGAGCTGGTCATCGCTGTGCTGGGCACCGGTATACAGACAAGTGATGATCACTAGGGACCACAAAGTGAGTCAGCCAGATTAGAGTCATTCTCTTCTTGACAAGGTGGTGGCTCATGGGATGGGACAGGCAGTATCTCTGAGCTCTAACTATGCACTTGACTGGACAGAGGGGTGTATGGATGCTTATATATTTAAGTGAAGTTAAAGTTGGTTGAAGAGATCCAAAGGGTACTGGTAGGTGGAACAGTATTGCCTTGGACGAGGGGAGGACTATCAGATCCTACCCTTGGCTCTGGTCATTCAGTATTTTTATTCATGACTTGGATGAGAGTATTAAGCTGGAAAAAATAATAGAGTCTTGTTCCACATCAATCTGGACAAGGTGGGATAGGGACTGAATAGAATATATAGGTGCCCAATCCGCATGTCCATCTTGAGAACTTTGAAGTGTTGGAGGTAATAGGGGGCGGGCATTTCCCAGAGTCTTGTTTGAACAGGAGTGCCTCTGACTTTTGGTAAGAATATAAAAGGGATGTTGGAGTTGGGAAACCTTGGGAAGCCAAGATTAAAAGTCTGTAACAAACAGGGGAGACAAAGAGTACCCCGGCCTCTGGAAGAGGTGTGGAGGAGGCAGGTGTGTTCCAGAAAGAAAGGAAGCTCACCGTGCTGCAGAGATATCTCTTCCTGGGACCCAAAGGACAGGAGAGTGAGGATTTGTGTATGGTTGGAAGGGTAGGCCTGCGTGAGGGTGGAGGATGGCTGCTAAGGGACCCTCGGTTTTCTCTATGAGAGTCTGGCCTAAACATGTAAAGGATAGGGCTGCCACCCCAGACCTCGTAACTCCCCTCCCTTGGATGGAAATAGAATGTGCTAATCTGTGTTTGATCCCACACTGTCCCCATGTCCTGCTGCTCAGCTTTCAATCAGGAACTATGAATATAACCATTTGTCAATCTGGGCCTCAGCTTCACACAGTTTCCAGCTACATGTATCTTTTCCTGTTATCTAGACCCAGCCTCAACTTGGTGGCTCCACCGGGGTCCTTTTGGATTCCCATCAGCCCCTCATCCTTACCAGGCGCTGGGGTCCTGTCGACCCTACTGCCCCCTCCTCAACCTGAGGCTAAACTGCTGTGCACAGGAGGGTATTCCTTCTTCTCTTCCTTCCCCGCCCCCCACGTCTAGGGCTCCTCTGAGCCCACTGCTACTCTCTCCTGAGTTGAGTCCAGCCCAAGCAGGGGCCACAGTAGCAGCCGTGTTCTCCTTATGGTGTCCAGGTTTCCTGTGCTGTGGCTTAGAGCTGAGACCTGGTGGACTGGGAACAATGGCAGGTTCCAGGAGTGGCCCTCTTCTGGTTGGCTCACTTCTGAGGACATGGCTTTTGTACTTACCTTCCGGTGTTGCTCCTTGTTCAAGCTTTTCAGTTTTGCTCTGGAGACTGAGCATTGCTTTGAACCCCAGCCACCGCACCGGCACTTTGCCAAATTGCCGCCAGGCATTCTCTGGAGGTAGATCTGTCCCTGGATTCCTGGCAAGGGCAACGTCCTGTATATGCCAATCTCTTGGTGTTACTCCTGTTGTACTTGGTCTCTGGATTGAGCCACAGCCTAGAAAGGCTCTCCATTGGTGAGACCTTTACCTGACCTGGGCTCTGTACCTTGTACCTGGAATAGCCTGGTTGTCCGGGAGACCCGGCTCCTGCAGGAACATCAGTCCCACAGCCAGGCCTCAAGCTCTAGTGATGTTGCTTTATACTCTTACCAGCTGTCCCCTTCTCCCTACTCTAGCATTGCTGATCCAGTAGCACAGAAGCCACTGCGTGTGGGCACATGTGCTCATTGCAGTCCAGAGGTAGCTGGGATGTCCTGAGAAGGCACTAGTTGTCTCCTATTCACTGCCGAGTAGGGAAGTATGATTTAACAAACTTCCTGCACAGCTCTCAGGCCTCTCATCTTTTCCAAAGTAGGCAGAGAGCTCACTATACTAGTATGTGGCAAATGTGTGTCTAAGAAGCATTCTGCAGTGGGAGGGCTTCATGCAGGAGGGGATGCATGGAGTTGCAAGGCTAGGTGTGCAGTGGGCAACCTGTCTCACCATGGCCTCCTCTCTGGCAGTGACCCGCCATAATCACCTCAAGGACTTCATGCTGGTGGTGTCGATCGTTATTGGCGTGGGTGGCTGCTGGTTTGCCTACATCCAAAACCGTTACTCAAAGGAGCACATGAAGAAGATGATGAAGGATCTGGAGGGGTTACACAGAGCTGAGCAGAGTCTGCATGACCTTCAGGAAAGGTAAGGCCCTGCCCCTTCCCCGCAGCCCTGATGCTGCCAGCTCTTGGGAGCCTCCTGTTTCCACCAGGGTTGTGGGCTGTCTCGCCCCCAAGATCATGCTGGCGTCACCTCCCAGGCTGTGCCATACTTCCCAAAACTGCATTGGGAGCGTAGGCTCCTGACATTACAGTTGCACAGGCAAACGTTCCTCCCCAGGGCAGAAGCTTATTTCTGTCTTTCCTCCCTCTGAGTCTCAGAGGGAGAAATGTGTAGCTGTCAGAGATCTAGAGCCTCCCTGGGTGGATGGCTTGTCCGTTCTATCCTTCTCGCTGCCCCTGGACTGTTATCTTTCGCATAGAAATAGACATAATTACCTGTTCTTCATTGTTCGCCGAAGAAACCTCCCAAATCTGTCTTTCTGATACCTTTAGTTCTTGAAAGATGGTAGGGAGGTCCTGGTAGTTAAGGTTGAATGTATATAGAGTGAGGCCAGATCCCTGGCACCATAAGACTCTCATGGAGCAGTTTTAGAAAGATGCAAAAGTCAGGAGGGAGTCAATGCAGGTAATTGGTTTTTTGCTTTGTTTTGTTTTTGAGAAGAGGAGGGACCTACTTCAGGACTCTTTTTTAGAAAAGTATTTTGGCAGCCTCAGGATTCCCATTGAGAAGTCTTTGCAGGAATCCATGTAAAAGGAAATGACATTTGGCCCTTTTCTGTTACTTTTTAATGATAGCTACTATTTTCTTTGGAGGGTGGGCAAAGGATTTCTTATGAGCTAGGTATTGTTAAGTACGTAAATGCATTATTATTTTTTTAAATCACCACAACCATGTTAGGTAGGTACTATTACTATTTTAGAGTTGAAGAAATGAGGGCTCAGAGAGGATGAGTGCTTTGTTTGGGTCACATATCAGTAAGTATGAGCCAGGAATTTTGACACTTACGGGTGCTGCCTCAGTAAAGGTGGCCCTATCACATTCATTTCCACTGGCTGGGTTTCTCGGAGATAAGTGAAGTTTTATCTCTGAACTGATTTCTGGCTACTTTTCTGGGCCCCTTGTTCCTGGGCCCTTTGCCAGCTAGGGGCTAAATGCTGCTATCTGGGCAGCCCCCATTCTTCATTTCTCTGAAAAGCATGTACTGTTTTCGTTGCGAAGCCAAAGAATCTAGGCAGGAGACATTCCAAGTTTGAGGATAAAACTAAGCTCCCAGTTCTCCCTGCTCCCCAAGGCCTCCAGAGCTTAATGACCACTGTGGCCCTTAGAGAAACGACTGCGTGCACACACATTGACACATGTGCACACACATATTCTCCTCTGATAGTGTCCAGAGCCCACATGCCGCCTTGTCCCTCCTTCCTTTCACAGGCCTGCACTGCCAGCCACCACAGAGCTTTTCTTTTTTTTTTCCAGAGTTCCTGATACTTTGGGTGAATAAATGTAATGCTACATGTGCATTCCAGGTAGGATTTCACTGGGTTTCAAGAAAATTCTTTGAGGCAAGGATTTTGATTCCCATTTAGGATTGAAGAAACAGGCCTGGTACAGGGAACAGACTTGTCCCTGGTACAGGGAACAGATTAGTCACACAGCTGCTTAGAGTCAGGGCTTGCGGTCAGGTAGCCGAATTTTCTTACTTGTAATGCTAACTGACTGCTGCTTTCAAGATGCTCAGTCTTCTGTGGAGGAGATGGAGTGGGGTGAGGCTTGACTGTACACGTATTTGCTCATGTCTGCACCCAGTAGTATTTATTGATCTTCATCTCTGCTAGATCCTGTTAGGACTATAAAAGTGGGTCAGTTTTGATTCTACTTTAAAGGAGTTCCCTACTATCTGGGCAAGGCAGACAGATCATAGGCTTTTCTGAAGAGGCTGCTTTCAGAGAGGATTATATTCAGTGAAGAAATGAATCCCCAGTGGTGTAATTTCAGGCAGTTGGGTCACGGAAGAATACAATAAAGAGGGTGTTCAGCAAGGGAAGCTGATGGGGGCAGGAAATGGCGCCTCTGATTTGTTTTGAACCTTGCCTGTAGTGCCACCTAGTGTGTATCTTGAGGAGGCTGAACTGCCTTTCTCTCCAGGGACAAAGCGGACTGCCATTTGTCAGCAGGAGGCTTGCAGCCTAGTCCTTTTCTGCTTGTCCCACCACATCTCTTGAGGTTTCAGCCACTGACAGATCTGGACTTGAATTGGCAGTTTTTATTTTTATTAAAAAATTTTTTTTAATTTTATTTTTGAGAGCAAGAGAGACAGAGCATGAGCAAGGGAGGGCAGAGAGAGAGGAAGACACAGAATCTGAAGCAGGCTCCAGGCTCAGAACTTGTCCGTGCAGAGCCTGATGTGGGGCTTGAACTCACAAACTGCGAGATCATGACCTGAGCTGAAGTCGGACACTCAACGGACCGAGCAACCAAGGCGCTTCATGGACGTGACTTGGCAGTTTTTAGAGGCTGAGTTCTGTCTCTGCCTCTTCTGTTTCACCTACTTAATTAGCTCAGTGGTCAGTACTCTCTTCTGAGGTCCCCTTTTGTTCTGTAGCTTTATCCTTCTGTATCTCAGGTCTAAGCTATATATCACTATCTTCTTCATCATCCTTTACCCTCCTACCCTGGTCTCCTGTGACTTTGGTGTTTCTTACTCAGATAGGAAGGCCCAACAATGACGAAGTCCTTCGCTTCTTCCAGAGGGATTAGCGAACTCTTACTCTTTCTCCTGGGTCTAGTTACCTTCCCTGACTCCTTTCAGGCAGAGTTGGTCACTCCATCCTTTGGGCTCATCCGACACCTTGTATGTCTCTCTGTTGTAGAACTTATCACACTGTGTTTAGGTATCTGTTTATTTGTCTATATTGGACTAGATCATGAGCTCCTAATTGGCAGGGACCAATTTCTCATTCATCTCCATGTATCTAGGACTTAGTGCAAGGCTTGGCATTCAGCAGACACTTGAAAGTATGTGTTGAATGAATGGATGAATAAATGAATGGATTAACATAGATATGTGGAGGAAGGAAGGAGGCTGGGTTGGATGGCTGGAAGGTTTTGTCAGTGAACAGAGGGAATGTGTGGGTGGGTACAAAGGTATATTTTCATTATAACTGAGCCTTTGAGATCTTTCCTACCATGGAAGATACTTAGAAAGGAAAGTCAGGCCTGGGGGCAGCAGGGGCCCTCCCCAGACCCTTTGTTATGAATTTCATTTTCTGCACTTCTGGGAACAGGTACTCAGGACTCTATGAGGTGCTTCTCAATGGTTCCTTTCTCATCTTCCCTAAATACCCCCAGGATCCCCACCCCAGTCGCATCTCAGCCATTGTGCCTTCTCTGGATCTTTGGGCTAGCTTGCAGGGCGTTCTACATTTATTGAGCCTTCCAGATACCTGAGGATATGGGGAATGACTGTGGGGTTTGGAGTCCTACAGATTGGAATTCTAGTCTCTGTTCAACCTGCAATGACTTCCCTTTTCTAAGTCTTAAATCCATACCTGTCCTAGGCTGATAATGATACAACATATCATTATCTGCAGGGAGGACACATGGAAATACCCTGTAAGCTAGTAGTTGTTAGGATCTTAGTATGTGAGATCCCTCAGAGGAAGGATTCAGATACCCAGGAACCTAGCATGATTACTGGCAGCAAAATGATAAGAAATATGGTAATCACTGTGGTTTCTTTTGGCCCTGAGCTAACTCAGAGCCAGTCAACAGAGTAGGGAGAATATATTCTGAGTGCCAGAGCCCTCATTTTCCTCTTTGATGCTGTGACTCGTGGCGTGTTGGCTGGCACCCCTTGCCTGGCCTTCTCCAGCTCCCTGCATCGCTCCCCAGGCTGCACAAGGCCCAAGAGGAGCACCGCACAGTGGAGGTGGAGAAGGTACATCTGGAGAAGAAGCTGCGTGATGAGATCAACCTTGCCAAGCAGGAAGCCCAGCGGCTGAAGGAGCTGCGGGAGGGTACTGAGAATGAGCGGAGCCGCCAAAAATACGCAGAGGAGGAGTTGGAGCAGGTAGGAGAGTGTACTGTTTCCTGGACACCCTGGGGTCGGGGTGGGAAAAGTGCAGGGCCAAAAGCCTGGCTGGAATGCTTCATGTGCGAGGACTTTGAAATATGCCTCAAAGAATATCTTTAGGAGTTACTAGACTCTTACCAATAATAGTGGAAAAGTTGTAAAAAAAAAAAAAAAAAAAAAAGGTCACTGTGATTTTCAAAGACTAGGGGATAACAGGTGATAACAGTTATTTTGTTCCCTTTTTATTGAACTATTACATAAAGTGTACCAATCATAAATATACAGCTGGAAAGCTTTCCTATAAGCATGTACCTGTATAACCAGCATCCAGAGCAAGATAAAGAGTATCTTTTAAGCACCCTAGAAGGCTCACTTTTTGCTTCTCTCTGCCTTCTGTCAATATTCCACCAAAAGGTAATTATGGTCATGATCTGTAAACCGGATTTGTTTTGCTTGATTTTGAACTTCATATAAATGGCGTTATATGGTATTTTTCTTCGTGTTTGGTTTCTTTTACTCAGCATTATGTCTGTGAGAGTCATCCATGTTACTGTGGGTAGTGGTAGTTGGTTTATTTGCATTGCTAAGTAATTATTCATTGCAGGAGTGTTCTTTAAATTATTTATCCATTCTTCTGTTGGTAGACATTTGAGTTGTTTGCAGTTCTTTTTCTTTTCCTTTTATGAATAACACTGCTATGGACCTCCTGCATATTCTCTTAGCATAAACACTTATTTCTGTTGGATATATAATAGGGAATTTATAAATTTAGCTGTATTAGAAACCTCTAGTTTTCCAAAATGGTTGGACCAGTCCATATTAGCGCCAGCAATGTGTGAGAGTTCTGGTTGAGCTACAACCTTGGTATTTTTAGGCTTTTTAATTGTATACATTCTGGGATCTAGAGGTATTTCATTGTGATTTTAATATTCATTTTCCTAATGGCTAATAATAATAAATACCTTTTGATAAATTTATTGACCATTTTATTTGGGAATCTCTTCTCATTTTAAAAATTGTGTTACTTGTCTTCTTCTTAGTTGATTTGTAGGAGTTCTTTATATATTCTGGATGTAAGTCTTCCTGTATATATATATACATATAACACAAATCTTTTCCCTGTCTGTAGCTTGTTTTGCTCTCTTAATATTGCTTTTAATGAACAGAAAGCCTTGATTTTAATGAAGTCCAATTTAATCATTTTTTTTAAGTGGTTGGTACTTTTTGTGGCCTCTTTAAGAAATCTTTCCCGATCCCCAAGATATTTTTGTAAATTTTCTTATAGAAGTGTTCTTGTTTTACTTTTCACGTTTAGGTTTGTGGTTTATTTCAAATTAGTTTTTGTCTATATGAGGTAGGAAGTCAAGGTTCTTTTTTTTTTTTTTTTTCAAGTAGATAATTCTGTTCTGTAGTCTGTCTGTCCTTAAAGCACATTGTCTTCTACTAAGTCTCAATGTCAGTAGTAAGTTCTCCAGCTTTGTTCTTCAAAATGGCCTTGGCTGTTCTAGGTTCTTTGCATTTCCATAATTAAGCTTGTCATTCTACCACTTCTCCCTACTCCCCCTGCCCCCAAAAAAGCCTTGCTGGGATTTTTATTGGTTTTATATTGAATCTATAGATTAATGTCGGGGAAAATTGACATTTTAACAAAATGATTCTTACAATCCGTGAGCATTGTTTATCTTGTCTCCTATTTAGGTCTTTTAAAATTTCTCCCAGCAATGTTTTGTAGTTTTCAGTGTAGAAGTCTTGCACTTTAAAAACAAATTTTTTTAGGGGTACCTGGGTGGTTCAGTTGGTTAAGAGTCTGACTGTTGATCTCAGTTCAGGTTTTGATCTCAGGGTGTGAGTTCAAGCCCCGCGTGTTGGTTCCACGCTGGGTGTGAAGCCTACTGCTCTTATTTTTCTAGCTTTTTTAAAATTTTTATTTTTTCAGATTTTATTTTTAAGCAATCCGTATACCCAACATGGGGCTCAAAACTCACAACCCCCAGGTCAAGAGTCGCGTGCTCCACTGACTGAGCCAGTCAGGTGCCCCTTATTTTTCTAGCTTCTTGAGGTGGAAGATTAGGTTATTGATTTTAAACCTTTAATATTTTCCAACAGAGGCATTTAGAACTATAAATTTACAGCTCAGCACTGCTTTAGCTGCTGCATTCACTAAGTTCTGGTATTTCATATTTTCATTATCATTCAGTTGAAAAGATTTTTTAATTTCTATTGCAATTTTTTTGGGGGGTGCTCATGGTTGTTTAGGACAAGTGTGTTGATTAATTTGCAAACAGTTGGGGACTTTTCCAGTGATTTTTCTCATTGATTTCTAATTTAATTTCACTGTGGTGAGAGAACATATGCTGTATATTTTCAGTTCTTTCAAATGTGTTGAGACTTGGTTTATGTAAACAGACCAAACAATACAATGGAAAGGTGAAGAGTGTCAGATTGGATAAAAAAACAAAACCCAGCTATCTGCTGTTTACAAGAGATATAAAATGGTAAGGATATAAAATGGGTAAAAGTAAAAGGATGAGAAAAGATACATCATACAAACGCAAAGCAAAATAAAACAGGAGTAGCTATATTACTATCAGACAAAATAGGCTTTAGAGCAAGAAGTATTACTAGAGACAAAAATGGACATTTCATCATGATAAATGTGTGAATCCAACAGTAACATAACAACACTTAATTTGTATACATCTAATAATATAGCTTAAAAATATATAAAACAATGAGGCACCTGGGTGGCTCTTTCAGTTAAGCATCTTTCAGTGTAGGTCATGATCTCACACACATTTCGTGCATTCAAGCTCTGCATTGGCCTCTGTGCAGACAGCTCAGAGCCTGGAGCCTGCTTTGGATTCTGTGTCTCCCTCTCTCTCTGCCCTTCTCCTCACGCTCTGTCTGTCTCTCTCTCTCTCAAAAATAAATAAACATTAAAAAAAATTAAAAAAATATATATATATATAAAGCAAGAGCTGAAGGAACTAAAAGTTTAATAGACAAATTTATGGTCAAAGTTAGAGATTTTAAAACACCTCTGTCAAAAATAAGAAGCCAAAAGTATCAGTAAGGATGTGAAAAATGTAAACATGATTAATCAATTTGACCTTATCAACATATATAGAGCATTCTGCCTGACAACCGCAGAATACACATTTTGTTTCATGTCTACATATTGCTTCTGTTCCAATCTCTCCTCTCCTTCTGGGAATCCAGTATTTATGTAAGACCTTTTAACTGGATTCCACTTGTCTCTTATGCTTAGTTGTGTCTTTTTTTTCTCTTCGTGCTTTGGTTTCATTATTTTCTGTGGATTCGTCTCTGAGTTCTCTAATCCTATATTCTGCTGTGAATATTGTGCTGTTTTGTTCAACCCATCCAGTGGAATCCTACTCTCAGATAATGTATTTTTCAGTTCTAGAATGCCTGTGTTACTCTTTTATAGATTCCGGTTTCCTGCCCAGAATTTCCATGTTTCCATTTATTGTGTCCATCTCTGTATTTTCTTCACTCATAGTTGAAGTCCTTTTCTGGTGCCTCTCACATTTGGATCACTTATGGGACTGCCTATTTTTCCTCTTGATTATTGGTTATATTTTCCTGCCTCTTCTCATGTCTAGTCATTTATTTTTATTAAATAGTGGACAGTGTGTATAAAAAATAATAGAGGCTCCAGATGATTTTATCTTCCATCAAATAGAGGCTCCTCCCTTCTTCTGTTAGGTATGTAGGGTGAGGATCTAATCACCTCAAGCCAATCAGAAATTGAGCCATGTTGGAGCTGGGTTGTAGTTTTAGAAAGACTTGGTCTAGCACTCGTTTGTCCCTGTTTCTCAGGCATGTTCCTTCCTTTTTCTTGAGAGCTTGTGGATTTCTTTCTCCTGAGCCCTGAAAGACTATGAGAGATTCATTTTTGCCACTTGGAGGATTTTAACTTAGCTCTTTGGCCTCCTGCTCCTCATAGCTTCAAAATTTTGCAGCTGTCTCGAGGGGAGGACCCAGGGGTATGTGTGAAGCAGGTCCCTTCCTTCCTACAATGTTTTGTCCCCTAAGTATTATGAAATTATGGGAGATTTTATTCCACCCTTTGACCTAGCTATGTGTTCTCCTGCACAGCCCCAGAACTGAGTAAATGCTCAATGAAGAAAACTGGATGTATGTTTCCAATCTCAATTTCCAATCTGTCATACCAGTACTGTACTACCAACAAAAGCTGGGCTGGTTTCTCTAGGCTCCAGTGGAGTCCCCACTGCCCTGGGCCATGCCCAATTATCAGCTCTCACCCAGAACCATCCAATGGCTCCAAGGAAGAAAATGGCTGACAATTATCAACTCATCTTAGGCTTTTTCCCCTCTTTGGATTTTCAGTTCATCTAGTCCAGTGATTCTCAGACTTTTTGATCTCAGAACCCTTTGACTCTTAAAAATTATTTAGGACCTCAAAGAACATTAAAAAAATTTTTTTTTTAAGGTTTATTTTTGAGAGGTGGGGGAGGGGCAGAGAGAGACAGAGACACAGAATCTGAAGCAGGCGCCAGGCTCTGAGCTATCAGCACAGAGCCCGATGTGGGGCTGAACCCACGAACCATGAGATCCTGACCTGAGCTGAAGTCAGAGGCTTTAACCGACTGAGCCCACAGGCGCCCCATCAAAGAACATTTTTAAAGGGGAAGTCTGTTGCTGTTTATCCTGTTAGAAGTTAAAACTGAGAAAATTAAAGAGTATTTATTAATTCAGGGGTGCCTTGCTGGCTCAGTCAGAAGAGCATGCAACTCTTGATCTTGGGGTCATGAGTTCAAGCCCCACATCGGGGGTAGAGATTACTTAAAAAAAAAATCTTAAGGGGTGCCTGGGTGGCTCAATCGGTTAAGCGTCTGCCTTCAGCTCAGGTCATGGGCTGATCTGACAGTCAGGTCAGATCTCACAGTTCATGGGTTGAAGCCTTGCATAGGGCTCTGTGCTGACAGCTCCGAGCCTGGAACCTGCTTCAGATTCTGTGTCTCCCTCTCTCTCTGACCCTCCCCCATTCATGCTCTGTCTGTCTCTGTCTCAAAAATAAATAAACGTTAAAAAAAAAAAAATGACGGGCATTTTTCAAAATAAAAATAATTTAATGAGAAGTGAGTTGTTTTGTTTTGTTTTGTTTTTTTACAGTTTTGCAAATTCTTTTAATGTCAGGCTTAATAGACTGCTGATTCTTATATTAGTGTCTATATTCAATCTGTTATGATATTACTTATCATATAGCCTCTGGAGAAATCTACAGTTCAGTTGTGAGCGAAAGGGAGTGAAAAAGGTAAATAATGTCTTAGTACAATTATGAAAATAGTTTGATCTCACAGATGCTCTGAAAGGATGCACTCAAGGATCCCTGGATCATACTGGAAAAATTGTAGACGTAGTCTTTATAGCTCTCTGATGACTTTGAAAATTTTTCATAATTATAATAATTTGTCTTTCAAGAATTTTGTAATTTTTGTAGCTTAGACAGCTTTCCCCAGATGCTGTGTTGGATCAGAATTATTCTTCTGGCATGACCTACTGCATCCTATGGGGAAGTGGAAGTCAGGGGTAACAAAGCACGTGGTCAGTGGTTATTAACTTTGCTGCATAGTAGAAGCTATGTAGTAGAACTTGCAGAACATGAGAAAGTATTGATACCTAGGCCAGCGCCCCAGATCTGTGAAATCAGAATCTGGGTTTGGGTCCAGATACCAGTATTTTTGAAGTGTGATTCCCCAGGTGATTCCAGCGTGTCGCAGGTTGAGAACCACAGCCATAGAATAAAAGAATACTGTGACTTGCCCCCCAGCTCTATCTCCTTCAGGCATTTATTCCTTGTGTGTGGCAGGATGGGTCTGTCTCTGTCTCCCTGCCTCCCATCCTCCCCACCCCGCCCCCCACTTCCTTTTCCCTATTTTGTAAGTATTTCTCCTGTTAAACCATTTTGAGCCTGTTAGACCAGCCTTTCCCAACTGTCCCACTGCCCTCCCTTTCCTCTTTTTTCTTTTTCTCTCCATCCTCCCTTGCTCTTAGCTTATCCCACTCCTTTCTCTCCCTTCAAGGTAGAACTTGATAATACATTTTCACACTTGGTATATTAGACTCTAAGGCATCTGTTCTCCATTTTAAATCTACAAAGCCAGGAGTGGGCTAAGTTATAGTTTCTTTTTCCACTTTTTCAAAGACCGAAAACCAAGTGGGGATTTGTCCTCTCATTGGCTCTCTATGGAATAAAGGTGTTCTGTCCTTAGCTAAGGCCCTCCCAGTCTATCTCAGGCCACGGAGAGAACCTCAGGCCTGCTCTGGGATACTTGCCCCATTGGCAAGTTGGGAATAATACAACTGCCTCTCAATCCCTTTTCTCTGGGATTCTGACCAGCTAAAGGTCAGTGTCTAGGTGGGGAAATTGGGGGTCACTTCTGTAGACTGGGTGAGATAGCAAGGGATCCAGTGTGTATAATGTCTGCATGCAATCTCAGACCTTCCATGTTTAGTGCTTCCATGTTTCAGCTTCATTGGATGCTCCTTGCTGAGAAGTCAGTGAGATCTCTGCTTACACATTGCTTCTCTCATGTCTTGGCCTCTTTCGGCAATGCCCATGTTCAAAGTAAGTGTGCTGGTTTGTAGAGGGTGCCCTTCAAAGCCTACCTGCCCTGCTCAATGGGAGAATCATAGACAAAACCTCGGGACTACAGGACACTTTGGAGAGCATTCAGGCTATCCCTTTCTGGAATAGCGATCATTTTTAAGGGCTCTCTGACCTGAGCTGTTCACATACCTCCTCCTGAGATCACCCCTTTACTGTGGTTTGGATTTGCAAGGGAGAAAGTCTTTCCTCACACTAAATTGAGATCTGCTATTGAAAGCACAGGGTCACAGGGCCAGGAGCCGGAATCAGAGTTTTGGATTCCCAGTCAAGTGCTTTTTCTGCCACATGGTGATGTCTTGAGGTCTGAGCATAGACCCCCACCTCTCAGAAAGAAGGTGGCTCACTGAGCTGACCTGAGCCTCAAGAGAGCAGGGAGGATTATGGAGATTGGCTGCAGGCCAGGAGAGGCAGCTAATGTGTGGGTACACAATGCTCTAGTCTGGCAGCAAAAAAAAAAAAAAAAATCTCAATTTGAGATCTGGTTGACACTACTGACTGTGTGACCTTGAGTAGATTACTTTCCTTCTCTGAGTTTGTCTCCTTGTAATATATAAAACACAGAATAATCCTTGCCCTTTCTGCCTCTTGAGAGGGCTGGAAGCTCATATGAGATAGCAGATAAGAACTCAGAATTCTGTGCTATCAGAGGCATCGGGAGAGGGTCATGGCAGCAGTAATGGCTCACATCCTCTTGGCTGCACAGGTTCGGGAGGCCCTGAGGAAAGCAGAGAAGGAACTGGAATCACACAGCTCATGGTATGCTCCAGAGGCCCTTCAGAAGTGGCTGCAGCTGACCCACGAGGTGGAGGTGCAGTACTATAACATCAAGAAGCAAAATGCTGAGAAGCAGCTGCTGGTGGCCAAGGAAGGGGTGAGACCTGCCTTCCCATCACTCTCTTCTCTCCTCCTTGCCCCCTCCCCTCACCTGCCCTTCTTCCTCCTCTCCACCTCTCCTTATCCCTCCTGTTGGACAAAGAGATATCCTGGTGCTGGGTTCTGTTTCTTTTCCTGAAAAATAGTTCCTGATGATGTCCTCAAGTTTCTGGAGGAGGGGCTGAGGGCATGGGTGTACTCCCACCTGCCTTCTGGAAAGATGAAGCAAGTGGAGGCAGGTAGAGGGAAAGCTCTGCCAGCCCCAGCCCGCTATGGGGCAGAACCCTTCTGGGGCTGGGGGACTGTCAGGGGATCCCACTGCTTCTCTCTTTGCCTTCATTTTCTTTCCTCCCCCGCTGTTGTCCTTCCCCCTGCCTTCCTTTCCCTTCTTCTCTTCCTTTCTCTCATGCAGCCTAAGCTGTGCTAGGAGGAGGAGGAGCCAGCCACTGAAAGGCATTTCTCATTGTCCCACCTCTAATCCCTGCTCTGTTTAAGCTGGGGATCTCATTTTTGCAGGCTGAGAAGATAAAAAAGAAGAGAAACACACTCTTTGGCACCTTCCACGTGGCCCACAGCTCTTCCCTGGATGATGTGGATCACAAAATCCTCACTGCGAAGTAAGTAGCACCTGATGCCCAGCTCTGGCGGTGTCCACCCCATCCTCGGAGTTGGAGGGTGTGTGGAGTCTGCAACCCCAGTTCTGCTTCTTCACTGGTAGAGGGGCAGCTCTGGTGTCCTGCCCCAGCCTTTATCCAGCTCCCACCTTGCTCTTGAATTTATGATTTAACTGTGTTTCTTATTTGCACGTATTCCCCCAACCTGTTCCTCTAGGAAGCCTCGTTCCTACCGGGGCTCCCACCCGCCCATGGCTTCAATTCTCTTCCATGTGCTCCAGGCAAGCTCTGAGTGAGGTGACGGCAGCACTGAGGGAGCGCCTGCACCGCTGGCAGCAGATTGAGATCCTCTGTGGCTTCCAGATTGTCAACAATCCTGGCATCCACTCCCTGGTGGCTGCTCTCAACATAGACCCCAGCTGGATGGGCAGCACGCGCCCCAACCCTGCCCACTTCATCATGACCGACGACGTGGATGACATGGATGAGGAGATTGTGTCACCCTTGTCCATGCAATGTAGGTGACCTCTTGGGTGGGGGTGAGGGAAGGAGCCTTTGATGCACCGGTTGAGAAGTGGTTGGCCACTGCTGTGCCTAGAACAGCATATGGGGCGGAGACCAAGGAAGGTAGTTGAGCTCAGGGCCTTGGTTCATAAAGCACAGTTCATGTCAGGATATTCCTCCACAGTTGTGCTCTTGGTGTTGTTTCCATGCTCTATGCTCTGTCTGCCCCTCTGGGTCTATTGTGTTAAGTGTGTCTCCCTTCACTCTTTGTGTTTCTTAAATCCCTTTATTCTCCTTTTTCTCCCCCATGTGCCTTTATAAAAACAATCTCCTTTAGTGGTTCATTATATCAAAATGGCATTCATTTTGGCTCTTTACTGCTATTATCTGTTTTCATTTTTATATTTGTTCTTAATTGCTAAAGACAAATGGAATGATATCTTTTTCTGTTTTTGTGTGAGGCCCCATAAAGCGGTAGTCCCTTAAAGAGACATAGCCCTAAATTCTCCAAGCCAGAAAGACATTCTTGTCCTGGAGGGATCTCCTGCACAAGCATGTCCCCCTGAATTCTTGGACCTCTGCACCCTTTCCTGGGCCTTCCCTCTCCTGTTCCTCCCCTCAAGTGGTGAGAGCTGAGTAGAGCAAAGTCAAAGAGACAACTCTCTGTGGGAAATCTTCAGTGAATGAGGGACTTACCCCTAAGGGGCCCAGTTGAAATTTTCCCTGGATCAGAGGCTATTTAGATAACTAGAATAGACCTTTACTACGGAAAAGCTGTTGTCTCGGGCCCACATCCCATGGGCCTGGCTTAGGGGCTCACTTTCAGAAAGGCAGATTCTTTCATCAGGCTGGACTCCAGCTACAGACAGGATTTATTTGTAAATTTGTTCAGCAGTACTTTGCCTCTGGCCAAGCTGCTTTGTCACCCTGGTCTGATATCCTATCAGGGCTTTAATCAAAGGCCCAACAAGGTTAGGATCACTGGCAGGCAAGGGTCCCATGTTCCATGGGTTGGGAGGGATCTTCATTAGCTCTCAGCTACCCAGTCCTTGCCCTGGCCCTCCCCTTATCCCACTGAAAGGTGGGCTGAAGCCCTCTGTAAATCAGATTCTCTTCTCCTTTTGGCCTGGCTGTTGGAACCTAGATGCTGCCTGGCTGATGGGGCGTAGGTTCAGTGACCGCTCTCTCTGCTCAGCATCCGCCGGCTCGGATGATCAGTCCCTCTGGAAATACCCGGGTTTGAGGAGCCCCTTTGGGGCTTTTGTTTTTCCAACTTTTGGGACTAAACCAACACTCCTACCCCTGAGCTCCTTCTCCTGCCTGCCTCACTCCCCTGCCTGCTCCCTCTATTCCCTTGGCACTATCCCTACTAACTGCAGGGAGAGGTTCAGGGGTGAGAAGAATCAGCCTGCTCAGCTGAGGGCTGGAGAGAGAGCACCCATAGTGAGGGAAGGCTTGGGCTTCTCCTTCCGGCCCAGCTAGACAGAAGTTCTGGTGGCCCTTCTTCTAGCTGGGCTGGGATGGAAAGAGAGAAGGAAAGATCCTTCCTTTCTTTTCTCTTTTTCATGTTTCTCCCTTTTCCTCTCTTTCCCCCTTACTTCTCCCTTTGCCTCTTCCTTTTCTATGCTGCTTCTTCCTCTTCTGCCTCCCTTTCCATGCCTTGAAAGCCACCAGTCATAGAAGCCCTGCCTCCCCAGCTCTCCATCACTGTGGACCTGCGTTCTCTCCCTTGAGGAGCCTCCATGGCTTCTGGCACCCATGTCACGTGGCTCATTCTCCCATCTTTAGGGAGAAGGCGGGGAGGCCCACCTCTCAGGGTAGAGGAAAAAAAACAAAGGTAGAAATTCTGTTTTCAGCTGGAGCTGGAAGTGAGCCCAAGGGGGATGCTCTACCACATTCCCAAGTTACCTGGTGCCCGTATACCCCTTCCCTGGGCATGGTGGCCGTCGTCTTCCAAGAGCCTGATTTGTAGCATTATTCCAGGAGCTGGCTCTGTGTTGTCTGCATGCTTGTTAGAAGAAATTTGGAAAGTGAAAAGTGAAAAAGTGCTGAAGAAAAAGGCACACCTAGTCCCACTGTATTTGAACAGCTTTTTTCCTACAGTCTCCTGTCTGTGAAATTTTTAATAATTTTTTATGTGGTCAAGATAATAATGACCACTACCATTTGTTGAGTGCCATGAACTGTGACAGGTACTTTAAATACACTCTCTTGAAGCGTCACAACAACCGTGCAGAATTTTATAAACTAGGTCTCAAACTAGGGAAACTAGTTGCGCAAGGTCGCGGCTACAAGTGGGAAGGCCTCACTTCAAACTCGAGTCTTTTGTGTTCCGTAGTTCAAGGTATTTCTTTCATGTATCCTTTTGTCTCCCCTGAGCATTTCAGTAGGTATTTTTGTATGTTTTTCAAATCTTAAGCAGAATTTTTAATAGCTGTATAGTCTTCCAACAATCAGATATATTATCATTTTCAATTTTATGTGTATTTTCATACAATTATTAATACTTATGTGATGAGCATGTGTGTGTATAGATCCTTGTCTGAACTGTGAATTACTTCCTGAGGTTGGCTTTCTAAAAAGGCTGGTTCTTAGTGCTCTCCCGGACCTCGTCCCACACCCCCTCCCACCCTGCCTGGCCCGTTTCCTCCCACTAACTGCCCTGCCTCTCCTCTCTAATAATATTGGCCCTCGGTATCCTTCCATTGCAGTTGCCACTAAAACTGACCTGGGCACCTCATCTTCAATGTCCCCTTCCTTTTAGGACCCCTGGTGGGAGGTTTTCGGGAGGAGGTGCCCCGTTCTCCAGATTGGGCACCAAGGGCCGAGCGGTCTGCAGCAAGCCTTTCTCCAGGGGCAAACCTGCTTGGCTGCCAGCCCCGAGGAGGTCGGCCCCTCCTGACACTTTCTTTACTCTCCTTGCAGCTCCCACCCTGCAGTGCAGTGTCCGGCAGCGCCTGACGGAACCACAGCACGGCCTGGGATCTCAGAGGTTGGTAGAGGGCGAGGCTGGCCACTTCTTGACAAGCCGGGTCTCTCTGCGGCGAATGCGCAGCCTTTCATCTGGACAGTCTTTCAGTTCTGAAGGCCACGGGACCAGCTCTCCACCTGCCTCTGCTTCTTCTTCCTGTTCCTCTACCACCACCACCACCACCACCACCTCCTCCTCCACCACCACCACCACCACCTTCACCACCTCCATCACCAACGTCCATGTTCACCCTGTCTATTACCACCACAGCACTTCCTATTTCCTCCAGATGAAGCCCTACCCTGACCCATCCCCTGCTGACAGCACCGCTGTGATGCCTGGGCATTCAGAGAGCTTGGGGTATCGGCTGTCTCTCTTCTCTTCCTTGCCTTTCTGCTGCCTTTACCTTGGCCTCTGCCTGCTGGCTGCTGCTTGGTCAGCTGTGGGGGTGTGTGCAGTGGGGCATCTTCTCCTGGTCCTGCCCTTTCCCAGCCCTGGGCTCCTTCTTAAGTTCAGCCTAACTCCCCACAACTTTGTTCCCTTCTCTGTTTGGGGTTTTGCTGACTCTAAAAATGAGTACAATGCCCCTCCCTCACGGTCCTATTGCACTTTTGCCTAAACTTTGCACTTTCACATCTGTTGTTTCCATGGAGTCTTTACTTCCTTTACTCCTTCAATAGAACATTTATTGATACCTGCTCTGGGCCAGGCTCTGCTGGGCATGGGGATTCATAGATGATAAGATACAATCCCAGCCATCAAGACTCACAGTCTGGTCCGGGAGAGGTACATAAATAATTATGGAACAGTCTGAGAAGTGCTATGGGGTGCTGAGGAGGGAGTGACTAACAGTGTGCACCTGGGTGGAACGCTTCACAAAAGAGGTGACATCTGTGCTAACACCCTGTGCAGGAAAAGGAGGAAGTATAGTCTAGGCAAAGGAAGGCTTAATGTGCAGAGGCGTGGAGGTTCAAGAGAATATGATGTATTTGTGGTTAGAACCTTGGGCGTGCGTTGGTGGGAAAGGGTGGTAGATGAGGCTAGGAGGAGGAAGGGCTCCAAGAGGCTTGGGCATTGCCCTTTAGGAGATGGAGAATTGCAAAAGGGTTTTAAAAAGGAAGAGAATCATGGGGCGCATGGGTGGCTCAGTTGGTTGAGCATCTGACTCTTGATTTCAGCTCAGGTCATGATCCCAGGGTCATGGGATCCAGCCCCACATCGGGCTCCATGCTGAGCATGAAGCCTGCTTAAGATTCTCCCTCTCTCTCTGTCTCTCCCCACCCCCTTTCCTTTGCCCCTCTCACCAGCTTGTGCGCTCTTTGTCTCACAAATAAAAATAAAGGGAAGAGAATCAGATTTGCACTTTAGAAATAACATTTTTGTGGCCTGTATAAAGAAGAGAAGGGGAGACTACAGAAATCTGGAAGTCACCAAGGTAGACCAGTAGGGGAGGTAGTGAGGTCTAGGCATTGGAAAGGAGAGGTTTAATTTGGTAACTGGCTGAGATGGGTGGAGGAGAAGGAGGAGTCTAGGATGACACCCAGGTTTCTAGCTGGGGTGGCTGCATGGATATGGTAACCTTCACAGAATTAGGGAACTGAAGAGGGGAAATGGGTTCAGGGGTTTTAGACAAGAAAAGTTTATAGGTGGGGCCAGCACAAAGTACTCACTTTCAGAATAAGAATTTAAGGTTCTGAAAAGTTAAGTAATTTTCCCCACGTCCCACAGCTAATTAGTAACAGAACAGAGTAGAACTTGACTTTCCATTCCAGGGCACTCTAGGTATTTTTGTCCTTCCACAAGGTCTCAATAACTGCACTGTGTAACAGTTGGTGAAAGGCTTTCTCCCACAGCCTGCTCTAGCAGCTACCTTAGGAGATAGGCTAGGGTCAGAGATAAGAGAATTCACTTTGCCTGGAACAAGCTTAGGGGAGACTCAGAAAGTCCCTCTCCTCTGGAGGGACCTCTCATCTCTGAAGTTGAGACATGACCAGCCCTGGCCTCGGGGCTGCAGCCTGCTGATGCCGTTGCTGACTTCTGGCTGTGCTTCACTCAGGAGGCCAGTCTCTCTCTGTGTTAGCCTAGAGGGCTGTTCCTTTGTCTTTTACAAAGGGACTGCCTTTGCTAGCACTTTCACCCTGCAGAGTGGCTCATATTCATCCTCATCCTCATTTTCATCCAGAAGCCTAGGCTGGGAGACTGCCCCTCCCAATACAGGTGGAGAGGGCTGGATGGGGTCTGGGGCACTAGGGGATGCTGTGGATCTCAAGCTCCAAGGCCCAAGCTGAGGGCAATGGGGAGGGGCGGGTGGGGAGGTACCTGCACCCACCTGGCCTGTTCACTACTTAATTTTCTTTTGCACCATGCACCAGAGGATCGTCTCTAAAGACAAACAGGCTCTCTAGTAAGGTTAGTAGCTTGGTATGGGAGCCCAAGGCAACCCAGCCTTTGGGGAGGGACACCTTCTGGCGCCTGAGTGTCTCAAAGATCCAGGGAGGGAAAGTGAGCTTTGCCTCAGCAGGGCTTTTACCTCCAGGGTGTGACACCTGGGTTTCCTCCAGGCTTTTTTCTTGCATTGGAAAGTCTTAGCTTATAACTGATGACAAGGCACGGGGGGACGGGAATCATGGCCAACTGGAGCTGTAGGCCACGAGGAGTGAGGCTGGGAGGTCCCCCAACCCCCGACCACTCTTCCTTGGCATTAGAAATGTAGGCTTCTGGGGTTCTCACCTCATCAGCGTAGATGGCCCCCTTTCCAGTGCTGCTGCCCCCCAGAACTGTCTCGGCACCTTGCTCACTGGCTCATTATGTGTGTGGAAAAGGCAGGATATGGAGAGGATCATCTTGGAACTTAAGGAAACAAGGGCATATTTAGATGGAAGAAGGACAGTGTCTGATATAGGAAACCAAATATGAGACTGAATACTAGTAAACAGTAGAGTATGTGGCTGAAATAGGATTTGTAGAATGGAATTGGAGCTGGGATTGTTCTCTGCTGTTCCTTGTCTCCAGGAAGATACAGGCCCATGGGGTAGCTGCTTAGTTAGTTGTTTCCTGTTGAGAATTAACCCTACACTAGCTATGAGCCAACCTTCTGCTTTTGCATATTTTAAGGGCCTGGTGCCTTCCCTATTTTTGACCCCCAGCCTCCTCCTTTCCAGATCCTGTGGTGCTCTCCCCTACCACTCCTGACTCTTTCCCTTTGGCTTCCTGACCTGGATGCTTAAGCATTTCCCTTATCCCTCTCCTCTGCCTCTACCGTGGTTGTCAGGCCTCTGGAAAAGCAGAGGGAGGGTTAAGGGACTGACAGGGGACCCCTCATATTTACCCTTTTGTCTGTAGAGGCAGGAGAGGAGGCATCGGAAATTGGTTCATGGGCCTTCTTAGGAGTAGCCAGGCCCTTTGGGGTCTCAGCTTTCTGGACTAACCTTGGTGTGTGCATGTCCAGTGTGCGGTGTCACATCCCCATAACAGCCTTGCAAAGAAGCCTCTTGTGACTGGCCTACAATGGGTCTTCCAGCTTGATTGGCCTCATCATCTTCATTCCCACATACTTCCTACATTTCCAAGTGATTTGCTAACATACCTGATCCTCCAAACAGCCTTGCAAGATCACTCAATTGGTATTATCTTCATTTGGCCAAAACTGAGGACCAGCAAGGTTAGATGACTTAAGTTTAAGGTCACACAACAAGCCTCAGGCAGAGATGGAAATCGAAACAGACCTTCTGACATCTAGTGGCAGCTCTTTGGAACCACTGCTACTTAAAAGACCCATGTGCTGTGTTTCTGCACCTGCCTGCACTGTCCCTCTCACAGAGCTCTGAAAAAGACCCCACCTTTCCAGCTGCCAGCCGACTTTGGTTTGAACTCAGAAACACTTCTCTGTGACCCACTTTGAATCCTGTGAGAGGGTTGAAAGAGGCAGCATCCTGACCTTTTGGGGTGGATAAGGGATTGTTTGCAAGGCTGTTCTAACCTTCTCCTCCCCAGCCTGGGTCAGGCCCACTTACTACTGCATGTACCCTGTTCCTTGGGGCTTGGCCCAGACTGGATGTATCCCAGGGTGTGACAGGAGTCCATGGGGGAGAAAGTCATGGAAAATGGTGACCCAGAGCAATATGTGGGCTCTGGGTTGGCTTAAGGTTGAGTCCTAAGAAGTCTAGCCAGCTGAGGGAAGGAAGAGATTTTATTGAGGATGCCTGGGGAATTTAAGCCTACAGTTGCAGCAGTTTAGGGCCTGGCCACTCAGCAGGGTGGGGGCCCGTCTCTAGAAAGCCCTTTGCCAGACAGATGATGGTATAATGATGTTTGGTTTTGCTTCTTGTTTGTCTCTTTTCTCTCTACCACTCTTCCCTTTCTTTCTTTTTTTTCTCCCCTTGTCCTTCTTATTTCTATTTGTTCCTCCTTTTGCCTTTCTTTCTCCCTGCTTTTATTCTCCCCTCCGTGTCTCTTCCCCATCCTGTCCCCATTCCTTATTCCTGCCGCCTCTCTTATCCTGTACTTAACGGCCTACTCAACTTCCTTCTCTTTCTCATCCTTCTCTCTCACCCACCTGTCTGTTCATCCTCTTGTCTCTCTCCTGCCCCTCTTTCCATCCCCATTCCCTACCCCCTCCTTGTCTTCTCATGCTGTTCCTCTCTCCTCTTCACCTTCTCCCCATTCCCCTATCCTGTATGTTGTCCCTTTCCTCCTCTCTGCCCTGTCTTGCAGGGATTTGACCCTTTCCGATTCGGAGTCCTCCCTCCACATGAGTGACCGCCAGCGTATGGCCCCCAAGCCTCCTCAGATGGTCCGTGCTGCAGATGAGGCCCTCAACGCCATGACCTCCAATGGCAGCCACCGGCTGATTGAGGGGGTCCACCCCGGGTCTTTGGTGGAGAAACTGCCTGACAGCCCTGCCCTGGCCAAGAAGGCACTACTGGCGCTGAACCATGGGCTGGACAAGGCCCACAGCCTGATGGAGCTGAGCCCCTCAGCCCCACCTGGTGGCTCTCCACTTTTGGATTCTTCCCGTTCTCACAGCTCCAGTTCCCCAGACCCAGACACACCATCTCCGGTTGGGGACGGCAGAGCCCTGCAGGCTAGCCGAAATACACGCATTCCCCATCTGGCTGGCAAGAAGGCTGTGGCTGAGGAGGATAATGGCTCCATTGGTGAGGAGACAGACTCCAGCCCAGGCCGGAAGAAGTTTCCCCTCAAAATCTTTAAGAAGCCTCTTAAGAAGTAGTCAGGATGAGAGTGGCAGTGGCGGGACAGCTTGCCCTTCCCTGGTCTTCTGCCTCTCTTTCTTCCCCTTCCAAGATCCCTGGCCCCTAGAGTGGGGCATGGGAGGGGCTGGCCCAGGGGCCTCGGCACTGTACATACCTGCCCCCCTCATCCTTGGGTCCTTCAACATTATTTATTAACTGACCACCATGGCCTGCCTGCCCTGCCCTCCCACCCACGGGCTGCCGCTGCCACTCCCTCTCTACTTCAGTGCATGTCTTAGTTGCTGTCCCCTCAGCTCCCAGCTCCACTTCTGGGGTCCAGCTTCTGTCTCTGCTGTCCCAGTTTTGAAGTTTGGTTTCTTGTTTCTCTGTGTTTCCTGCTTTCAGGCTCCTCCCTCCCACCACTCCGCAACTTCCCCTAGCAGCTTGGGGGGGGGGGGGGGGGGGGGGGGAAGATAGGAGGAGTAACTTCTGACGTCTGTGCCTCAGACCTGTTCCACCCCATCTACGATGGTTCTGTTTGCCTCAGACTGGGGCGGGCCTAGGGTCTATTGCTTGAGGTTTGTTCTTTGGGAGTGTGGTGGGCCAGAAGGAAACTTGGCCTGGAGCTCTCTTGAGCCTCTAGGGGTCCATGGGGGAGTGGAACACATTCCCAGAGAATAAGCTACTAGAGAATTTTGAAGAGAGGCCAGGCTAGGGGGTAGGTTGGGAGAGACTCCTCTTAGTTGGAGCATGAGTAGATGCCAGAGTTGTGGGCTATAAGGTAGTCACCTTTTCTCTCTTCTCTCACCCACACCTGCGTCTTTCTTATCCCTGCTCCCCCACACTGCAGGAAGGTTTGACTATAAGAGGTGCTGCCCAAATGCTCCCCCAAGCATCAGTACTCCTGGAGCTCAGGACAAATGGCTCCCCTGGCCATGGGAGTCTCAGCCATGATACAGGGCTCAAATGGGGCCCTGAAGTGGTTGGGCAGGATATTGTTGCATTTGAACCAAAAAACATTTTTAAATTGAAAAAATAAATCTCCTGAATTTCCCAAGTGCCTGCACCACATACTCCCCTTGTCAGACCCCATTTTCATGTTACTGCATAGCTTGGGCCAGAGGCTCAAAAAGGACACAGCTGGTTTAGGGAAGGGGGTGGCTAAGGAAGATGTAGGTGAAGGCAGCTGTGTGACCTCTTCCCCCACACCCTTCCCACCCTCTAGACAAGTCTCTCCCTTACCTGTTTTTGCTATGGCTGTAAAGGTATTTTCCTGTTGCCCCACTCCCTCCCATGCCTTTACTCTGGGATCCTATTTGGGGCCTGGGGTGCAGGCACCTGGGGCTGGTCTTAGGAGGGTGCTAGGCTGCAGACTGCCTTGTACCCCCTGGGCACCCTCACATGGGTTTTTCTGTGTTATTTCATAAGACTCTTTGAAGTCCAATAAAGCATGTAGGAGATTTTAACCTCTGCTGGCTTTGACTCTCATTGTGTTCTCTGGCATAGCAGACAGGATGAAGAGGAGACTATTTCTCCTTGGCCAAGGAAAAATGAAACTAACACATGTACCCAAAAGCTCTCTGGATAGGGTTACCAGATGAAATACAGGATGCCTGCCTGGTTTAACTGGAATTTCTGATAAATAAAAACGTTTTTAGTATAATTATGTCCCCTGCAACATTTGGGACACGTTATTTTTGTTTGCTAAATCTGGCAACCCCATCCACCCTTAACCTATCTATCCCATGGCCTTGCCTATCACCTTTGTCTTTTTTAATTACTTCACAGGGAGCTCGGGGTGTATCTGGAGGGCAGTGAAAAACCAATGAAAGGTTTTAGAAATCGATGCCACGTGAGCTTTCATAAAAATTAGTTTGTGTAGCCTAATCAGAAGCTTTTACATCAGTCTTGTATATTTCGTCTCTTACCCATTCTTACCCCCCACATTCAGTCACCAAGCACAGTCCATTCTGCTTCCACAAGGCCTTACTGCTGACCCTGTTTCTGCCACCACCCGCTGGAGAATTATAAAAGCCCTGCCCTGCTCAAACTCTTCCAGAGTTCCCATTCCGTCAGGATAAAATTCAATGCCCTTAGCCTAGCAAGGCTCTCTTCCAAGGATTTAGTGCCAGATTTCCTCCGACCTAGAGCGTGGGCCTCCTGGCTGCCTCCAGCTCTGGATCGAAGGCTACAGCCCACATTGGACAGCAGTCGGGTTATTATATTCTAACAGTCCTCAAGACAAGAAAGGGTTTTTGGATGGTTGGGTTTTTATTTCAAAAACACCTGAACCATCTTATTCTCGGCGGGGGCGCGCCAACGAGGAGGGCGGGGCCAGGCCTGGCGGGTTCTGCGCGCAGCGCGGGGTTCCTGTCCCAGATTCCTCTATGCCCACACTCAACATGGCGGCGGGAGAACCGCGTTCCCGCCGGGCGTGCCCACACCCAATGTGGCCGCGGGAAAGGCGCAGTATCCAGGGCCCTGCCCATACCCAAGATGGCGGCTACTGGGGCGAGGCTTACTCGGGCTTTACTAGCCCTGCCCACCAGCCAGGGCGCTGGCAGCGTCGAGTAACGTCATTCCAGCTCCGTCGCGCCGCTTTTGCGTCTTGGGTGGCGGGAGCGGGAAGGGTATTCGGATTGTCGCGCCTCCGCTCCGTGGAGGAAAGTGCTCTGTGGCCCCAAATCCAGTCCCTGCACCTGAGTACCCCCAGGAACCCGACCCTTCGCACCCTACTACCTTCTCGATCCCGCCGGCGCCTCAGAGCTGCAGTCCCGTCTCGAATCCCTCAGCGCCTCAGCCACTAGCCGCGATGCATGTAATCAAGCGAGGTGAGAAGCCGGGGAGGGGGCGGCGGGTTAGTGGGGGGCAGGTAAAGGGGTCGCGGGCTGCCGCCGCCCTTGCAGTCGGCGGCACCCGCCCGCCTCCACCGCTTCCCGCCCTGCCCGCAGAGGCTTCCCGCCCTGTCAAGCCCGCTCGGCCTCTGGCTTGCGTCAGTCTGACCCTCCCACCCCCCACAAGGCCTTCAGTCTGAGCCCCCTCGGCTTTGTCATCCTGGCGCCTTTCTAAAGAGTAATACCTCCCCTTTAACGGGTGGTTCCTGTGTGAGCCGAGCACTTTCCAGGCAGTGTTTATTAGCTCCTCTTCTCAGGTGAAGAATCTGAAGTGCAGAGAGAGGTCTGTTGACTAACGCAAGGCCACCCAGTTAGTTGATGGTGAGGCCAGGGTTCGAACCCATGGCTAACATCGGAGTTGTATTGGAAGACCCTGGGGCTGATGAGCTGTCCTAGGGACTGGGAGGAGCCGGGAAGAAGGGATTCAGCCCTAAACGGGCACCTATCAGTTTCCTGATCTCTTCTGTGGGGTGAAAGAGAAAAGATCTTAGACACAGACAGACACCCCTGGAATTTGCCCTTTGCACGACGTGTGTTGCCACTTGCCCCAGGAGTAGTCTCGGAGGAGTTTGGGACTGGGACTAGTGATACAGAATCAGAGTAGGGTGGCAAAGACAACTTCTGACAGGATGAGTACTGGGAAGGGCCTGGGACTTGTGTTCTTCCTCAACAGTTATTTCCCGTTAGACTTGCTGAGTTTCTCCTTTGTGCCAGCCCTTTGCTTGGCAGTGTGAAATTGTAAGAGGAGACGGTCCCTGCCTTGCCAAAAGGTTTAATCGGTTTGGAAAAACAAGAGCAAAACATACATTTAGCAGAGAACCGTATGAGGCAGGTATGAACAAGTTTCAACTTGAACCTACTTGCCCCTGTTAAAGCAATAAAGTTATTTCAAAATTGTAGGCACTTAGTAAATACTGGTTGACTGGATATTTTGTCCACTAGGCTGTGAGTGTTTCAAAGATCGGGACTTTATGCCTATACTTAACACAGGACTTACCGTGAATAGGAATTCAAAGAATGAATGAGAATTATTTTATTTTTTATTTATTATATTATTTTTTTTTTAATTTTTTTTTCAACGTTTATTTATTT